TGATAGGAACAATACTTTTTTAGTTTGTATTTTATTTTTTTAATTGAAAATTTTACTTTTTAGCCCCTCATGGCTGACCCAAATTTTTGAAGTTTTTCTAACGATTTTCTTATTTTTAGTTGAATGCTATTTTACATGGTGACACTCGCATTTAGTACGACTCTATTTTCTGTAGTTTGCAATTTATTTTTATTTTCCTTGACCAGCTCCTTTTTCTTCTTGCCACCGATGGCTATTTTGGTAAGTTGTTTTACATTCATAGGTTCCTGTACGACATTTATCTTTTGAATTCTTATATTAGTTTGAGATGTCAATTAACTTTAGTGTGTGTTATTTCATATCAGATTCTGATTCTGGCTCGGAGGATGAAGAACTTGCATTGCCCCCTGCTCAAAATGGTAAATGCATACTATTATGAAAATATTACTACTGCTTTGGCTGTAGGAAATATACTCTACGGACATTTATCTCATCATGATTTACTTTCAGGAAAACCTAGTCAGAAGGAGGAGAAGTCTATTTCAGATAAAAGTAATGGTGCAAAGGCCGCTTCTTTGAAGAAGCCAAATGTGAAGCCTCTAGAACCGAGCAAGGATGAGGATGATGAGTCTGATGACGATGATGAATCTGACGAGGATGAAGATTCTGATGATGAATCTGATGAGGTAGTATAAAAAGAGATTATTTTGTCTTTTAATATGTTTTTTGAGAATTCTTCCATGCATCAAACCAATGTAACTGATTCCGTGGTGGAAATTTGAATCAATTTAATTTTTTATGGGAGTGATAATCCTTTGTTATGGTTAATCCTGTAGCTGGTCCTGGTTGAACACCACAGTTAACTTTGCCAGTAACCTGGTGATAAGATTCTATACATATTTTTGCCCTTGTGTCCTGTTCTGTAAATGGGCTTCTCATCCACATTATGCATTTGAATTGCAATTTGATGGCCATTTGTAATTGTATTCCTATCTCCAAGACAATATGTATGAAGTATATATATATTGTTTTCTATGAATCACGTGGCAACCAGTCTTGATTACGGTAGTTTTGTCTAAAGAATCATGTGAAGCACTCGTAATCTGGAATTTTATTGAAGATAGTCAGTGGTGCAACAATCCGGGTTTGGAATGTTTTTTGAGATTTAGCGCTGACATTTACATTTGTGATAAATGGCAGGAAATGCTTAATGCTGACAGCGGTGATTCTGATGATGAAGATGATGACTCTGACAGTGATGAGGAGACACCGAAAAAGGTTTTTTTGGTCATAGATTCTATTGTCATCTTTTTGTTACTGTTTTATGTGACAGCTTTAACATTTTTATCTTCATTCGATTATCGATATCATTATTTTGATGATCTCTTGTCCTTTTAGATTGAACCAACCAAGAAGAGGCCGAATGAGTCTGCGACCAAGACGACACCCCTCCCTGCAAAGAAGGCGAAGTTAGCTTCGCCTGGAAAGACTGGTAACTCTTTTGACCATTTATTTATTTGGCATAGCAACAGTTAGGCATAAGCAATGTTATATTTGCAAATAGTTGTTATCCTTACTCTTTTATTTATGAAGTGATCATAATTTAGCTTAGTTTCAGAAGTGGACATTTGCTTCAAAATTTGATATTGCACACTATTATATTTCCATTCAAGTGGTGCTGAATTTGTTTGTTGGTTGTTTGCCAGATTCAAAGAAGGGGGGCCATACGGCTACTCCACACCCAGCCAAGAAAACTGGTAAAACTCCTGCTGCCAAGTTAGAAAGCCCGAAATCCGGTGGTCAGTTCTCTTGCAAGTCCTGCGACAGGTATTGTTTAGTCATTATATATCAGTTGCTGAAAATGGAAGGTTCCGCGCACGTTGTTGACCATATGTTCTCCGTTGTATCAGGGCATTCGGTTCTGATGGTGCACTTCAGTCTCACAGTAAAGCTAAGCACGGGGGTAAGTAAAAACGAAGAGTGCCATAGTTTTTTACAGCTCAAATAGGTTGGTTTCTAGATAGGTTGCAGGCTTGGCTGAAATTTTGTGTGAGGGTTGAGATTTTAGAACGAGAAATGTATTTTTTTCAACTTGAGGAAGAAGATGAATTTAGTTTGATAAATGTATGAATGATGTTTTCTTGTCTAATTGCTGTACTCATTCGCTTGCATTTTACTTCGGAACTCTGTATCAGTCCCCTTTCAAGCAATGAAAGCGTTAGTGTTCAATATTATTATGGATTAATGCCTCTAGTTTTTTGCTTTGTGCAAACTGTTGATCTCTTTTTTATGAAATATTCTTAATCTTTCATAACACTAATTCAAAGTCATTAAAATATGTTAGCTGGCTTAATGAGAAGTAATTAAATGTGTATTACTATTGACGTAATTAAATATTTTTTCTTTCTTTTTTATTTATGGCTCCTAAAATATTAAATTAATTAGACAAGACAAGTTTAGCCCTCCATTTGAGTTTTTAAAAACACCTCTAAATACTTTTAAAAAAATTCTCATAATACTTCATTTAAAAAACACTTTCTTAATACTCTTTTAAAAAAATTCTCATAATACTTCATTTAAAAAACACTTTCTTAATACTCTTTTAAAAAAATTCTCATAATACTTCATTTAAAAAACACTTTCTTAATATTCTTTTAAAAAAATTCTCATAATACTTCATTTAAAAAACACTTTCTTAATACTCTTATCTAGTAATTGGAGATAAAAAAGAAGATTTGAAATTGTTTATAAAAAAGAAGAGTTGAAATTGTTTAAGTAGGTTGGGCTAGGTTAGGTTAATTTGCCCTTCTCTGACTCTTATTGCCCAATCGGACAGCTAATGCGTTCCACACCCCAAACATACCATTAGGAAGTGATTCGTTAGACGCATTATTGAAAAATTTCAAAAACCAAACCAGACCCACATTTTTTGATTCAATGGTGCATTGACTAATATTTAAGGGTTTATTGTAAAATATGGTTGCGGTGTTACAATGTTGGAGGTGATTTATTTTTAATTATAAGAATTTAGTTCATTATTAACAAACAGCTGGTTTGCCCGAGTGGTTAAGGGGGAAGACTTAAGATCTTCTGTACATAAGTACGCGTGGGTTCGAACCCCACAGCCAGCATCCTTCTTTTTTTTTTTTATCTCATTAAACTTCCTTTTAAAAGCTACATTTATATTAAAAAACAGTTGTTCTTATCTATGAAAATTCAATGAGAGAGAAATATGCAGAGGTTAAATCATTTTTTTTTATTTTTAAAAATTGAAATTAAAGACCCAATTTAGGAGCTTAATAAATACTTGTGAGTATTCATAGATTAAATGGACAAAAATATCAAAATATTGGAGACTAAGATTAATATTAAAATCCCAATAAAATGATTAATGATGAATAAGATTAGAGTTACATTATTACATATCTTTTGATTTAAGTTATTTTGAGTGCAAATCTATACTCTTCCAATTATGACCCAACTTCAACCACCATTAACTTTTTTATTTTAGCCACACACACAAAAAAAACAAAAAAAAAACAAAAAAAAAAACAAAATGTGAAAAGACAATTCTCTCCTAACCTATTTATTATGTTGGCATTCATTATTTTGAGCATATTGTCAGACCCACTTGCTCTCCATCTTCCTCTCTTCAATAACATTCACACACAAATACTAAAATAACCTTAGGGTTTAGGGTTACAAAATTAAATTATTAACTCAACTATAATCTTCTTTTAATCTTCAAACACTCCATTTTTGTCATTATTATTGAATTTCGTTTAATTATACTTACATTAGGTCACCTATAAATACATTTAATTAAGAGATCATCGAGATATTAAAATTTTTAATTTGAAATTTCGAACTTTCTTAATTTATTATTTTTATTTTAAAAAATTTAAATTAATCGAGGAATCATGAAGAAGCTAATCTAAAATGCTCGAGTATGCTTTGCACACGCTCCAATGAAGTGTTATTATTAGCAAACTGCGTTAGTTTTGGTGTTCATAATTGGTGTGACCAATAAGTTTATCCAAACTAACTAACCTATAAACAATTGGCATTTAGCTTTATAAAATTTAAAGCTTTAATTTATCAACAACCAACACACTTCTACTTCAAGTCAACATTTTCTAATCTAATTAAATACCCTTTCACCTAATTTTCAAACCCCTTTACGAAGATTTGACCCATATCAACATCTTTACAAGAGTATGAAACTTTTCTCCGGTAGACACATTTTAAAAATCGTGAAACTGACAACGATACGTAACGAGTCAAAACAGACAATATCTACTAGTGGTGTGTTTTAGCCGTTACAAATAGTATCGGGGCTGGACATTGCGTGGTGTGCCACAAGGACGTTGGGCTCGGCAAGAAAAAAAAATAGAAAAGGTTGAGAAATGGTAAACAATTGTTATTACAAGTCCATCCTTTAATCCATGTCCATTATTCCCTCACAAAACTCTTAAGGAAAAAGGTAACAAATGGGCCAACTCCATTCAATGACAAAAAGTATTTCACAATCTCAAAAAGAAAAAAAAAAAAAAAAAAAAAA